GATCTCAGTTTGTGTTCCAGTCGCATCAGCATTATCTGTCTGTGTGCCACACCCAATTCCGTTTGCTTTGTTGTCGGCGGCGATTTCTCGATCGATTTGCCGCTCCATCTGCACCAGCATGGGCGCGAGCATACCTGTAAATACGATGCAATTGCATATTAAACTTACTTGCATCTGTATATGAAGGCAAGTAAAATTGCATAGAAGTATGCGAAACTAATGTGCTAATTATGAAAAGAACTGTACGCAAACATTTTCATACTATAGCCGAATTGCGTTTGAAACTTACCAAACTTTGCGCCTCGCCGCGCCACCTCAAGTAGACAGAGTATCACATGTTTCTCGTTTTTTCGCATAATCAAATCGTCAGTTTCGAATAGTAGGCACTCGATTATTTTAAGGCTTTTCCTAAAAAAGAAATAAAGAGGTAATTATATAATGCCAAAAGGGGCGGAAGGCAAAAATAAAGTAAAACTATTTATTTCTTTAAACACCGAATTTTACAAACGATGTCATTGAGGTAGGATATCTACATACATACATATTTTTTCCTAGCCATATATGTATATCTACATATCGTTACCTCAATTCACAAAGGCCCTAAACAACAATATTTTATTTATTTTATAGCAGAAGCAAAAAACATTATAAAAAGAATATCATGAGCAGGTAGCGCTTTTTAAAAAGTGGCATCTAACTGCATTGTTTTTGGTTCTAATACCTTAAACTTTATATTTGTTTTTGTTATTTTTTTGGCCTTATAACAATTATATTCAACAATTTATATTGAGCTCGAGGCCGTTTTTTAAATGAAAATTTATTGTGGAAAAGCAAAAATAATTTGAAAAAATGGTAGAAGTGATAGCTATTTCGGAAATCACCACATTTCCTCATCAGACTTCTTTCAGTAGGATTCGAATCGACGATCCCACTGACTCAGCCAGTTGCCTATGCACCGTGCTAAGTACGCCTTGTAAATTATCGTTTGCTTTTTTCCCACTATTTTAATTTTTGTTATGCCAACACAATCAAGCGCAGCTATTCCGCTGCAATTCACTTGATCGTGTGGTTGTTGGTATTGTTGTTTTTTGCTAATAATTCTATTTTAGAATGTTTAACTTTTAGGTGTGCTCGTCCTTAAGTTATTTGTTTTTGTTATTTTTTTGGCCTTATAACAATTATATTCAACAATTTATATTGAGCTCGAGGCCGTTTTTTAAATAAAAATTTATTGTGGAAAAGCAACAATAATTTGAAAAAATGGTAGAAGTGATAGCTATTTCGGAAATCACCA